TCATTTCCTTTATTCCCTTTGCTGTTGATTGTGTATGTTGTATATGTTTAATTTGAGGCTCTGAGTGATACGTAGTAGTTTGAAGTTTACGGTTCCGTTTAGGGGAAAGAAAATTGGGATAGAGGTCTTCACTGCTTATGCTGTCTTTTTTTTACCGTAGCTCTGTAGCACTGTCATTGTTTGAGCCCAGAGGGCAACTGAGCACCATGCAGCCGTTCCTTCCCTCCTTCCTACCCAGCTCTGAGAAGGAGAAAATAAAGGTGGTTTGAGCTCAGAGGGCAACTGAACACCATGCAGTTGCTCACTCCCCTCTTCTGCCCCAGTGCTGGGAAGGAGAAAATAAAGTAAAAGGCTCAGCAATCAATGTAAGGACAGAGAGGAATGACTCACCCATTATGGTCACAGACAAAAGACAGACTTATTAGGGGGAGAAAAAACCCCCATGAATTTAATACATACTAGCAACAACACCAACACTTAACAGATAGAGTAGGACTGAGAGAAGCATTACCACATCTTGAAAACTCCTTCCCCTCACTCCTGCCTTCTTCTCAGGCTCAGCTTTGCTCCCCATATCTCTCTCTACCTTCTCTCCACCCAGAGGCAGGGAATGGGGGGGTGCTGTCAGTCCTGCAGCCTCTTCCACCTCAGTGGGGTGGGGAGACATGATTTTGGCATTCCTTCCCTGTTCCAGCACGGGCCCTTCTCACAGTAGAGTGTCCTCCACAAACCAGCTCTGACATGAGTTACTCCCACATGTGTGTGGGTCACCCCTGCCTGTTGCAGTCCTCCCAGTGCTGAACTACAGCAGTGGGGGCTTCTTCCCACAGGATACCAGCTTTCTTCAGGTGCAGTCACCTGTCCTGGCGTGGGACCCCCCCACAGGCTGTAGGTCAGCATCTGCTCCACTGTAGACCCCATGGGTGGCAGGGGGGCGGGATACAGGGGAGTGTGCTCTGGTGCACTTCCTCCCCTTCTCCATTCTTTCACTGACCTTGGTGTTTACACAGATGTTCTCAACTTCCGAAACTTTTCCCAGGTTCCCCTTCTTAAATACATTATCACAGAGGTGCAGCCACCATCACTAATTGGCCCGGCCTTGGTGCAAAGGCAGGTCAGACTTGAAGCTGGGTGAGCTTTGAGAATTTTCTCACAGGGACCACCATTGTAGCCCCCTCCCCTGCTATCAAAAAAACCTGCCACTCAAACCCTGGACAAACACCTAATCCCTTAAGTTATTTGATGCCACTAAGAATGGTGGGGAGTTCTATATGAACTTCACAGATAAGGTCTGTGGGAGTAAGAATGCTGTTGCCAGTCATTTCTCTTGTCCTTTCACTGTTTGAATTTAAAGGAACTTCTGGATTTTTCCCTTTACTGTGGGGAAATGGTCTTGCAGTTCAGTTACCTTTAATTACCAATACCATTCAGTGAAAGAAGAGAATACTGAAGATAGCTCTTTGCCTCCAGAGGATGGTAAGGAGTCTTCTCTTCCACCCTCCTTGATGTTATTTCACAGTGCAGACAGTAGTGACTTGTGCCAAATCCATCCTAAGACTAATAATCAAGTATTGGCAGGTATACAGAAGACTGACATTCATATTTTGTTGTGGGTTTTTTGTTCCCCCAGAAGCAACATACTAGATGTTTGGTTGTGGGTTTTTTTTGTTGGATTTTTTTTTTAATTATCAACATGTATTGAAAATGGGGTTTGGAATTCTGCTTTATAAATGTATAGATGATTCTCTTCCCCCTGACTCAGCAGAAAATAGTGTGTGGACCTAATCTTTTATTGATTGGAACTTTGACTGTTAACACTAATCAGCAGACTCATTTGCAAAATATCTTCCACGTTAACCTAAGTTATATGTAGTAGTCTTCTGTGACTGAAGTGTCAAAACAGAGGGCTTGGTCTTCCTTATACCTTGGCATTTCAGAAGTCCCAAGGTTGTGCTGAATGCAGGTGAAACTGATAGAGACCTGAGTCTTTTTGCATTTCTGTTAGGCTTTTTATATGCCTCAGTTAGCCAAAACTGGCTCAGTATTCTTTATAGTTTTATTACTGTGGCTGGAAAGAGATCTGTTTTGTATTTGGATCATGTATGCATGTTCTGTAGAGGTTTTGGGGGTCCTGGTGTATTGGCTGTTCGATTAATGTCTTACTGTAGTGTTTTTGCAGATCATCTAAATGACATTATATGCAAGTAGGGAAAAGGAAGGGTGTAACCTTGATGCCTCTATACTAGATCTGTCATGCCTGTATACAGCATCTATATTAGATGCTGTTTGGTTATGTTCTATAAATGGTGTTTTGTTTCCTTGACCTTAAGGGTAAATAGCAGCTTCTAGAAATGTGTTACGGGGCTTGATTTAAGATAGACTAATTTGAAGGACATCAAACTACTAGAGTATGTCCAGAGGACGGTGACTAAGGTCATGGAGGGCCTTGGCGGCAAGACTTCCAAGGAGTGGCTGAGGTCACTTGTCTTGTTTATCTTGCAGAAAAGAGGGCTGAGGGGTGACCTCCTTGCAGTCTACAACTTCCTTGGGGAGGGCAGCAGAGAAGGTGCTGATCTCTCTGGTGACCAGCAATAGGACACAAGGAAATGGAATGAAGCTGCGTCAGGGGGAGTTCAGGTTGGACATTAGGAAAACGGCCTTCACTGTGAGGGTGGTCACTCTCTGGAACAGGCTCTCCAAGGAAGTGGTCATGGCATCAAGTGTGAGAATTCAAGGAGCATTTGGACAATGCTCTTAGTAATACAGTTTGCTTTTAGGTAGTCCTGCAAGGAGCAGGGAGTTGAACTCAGATCCTTATGGGTCCCTTCCAACTTGATATATTCTATGATACTGTAGTATAAACTATATTCATAGAATTATCCTTCTAGTGAGAACTAAGTTGTGGATTTCACTGTCACAACATATTGTGGGAAAGACAATCATAAATGAGTTTGGGTAAATGACGTTGGCGCAGTATGATAATTCTTTATTCTTATGCATTAGTCATACCAAATATTGTACATATGTACATAATTTGGTACAACAGTTGTACATGTACATAATTGTACATTGTACCAAATTATGTGTATTATTTCTTCTGATTTTATGTTACTTTGGAATGCGTATTAAGGATAATTAACCAGAAGCATGCAGAATAGGAAGCAACTGCCTGAATAGTTAGTTGCTCTGCAGAAGAGGCTCTAGAGTTTGTAGCTGTTAAGTGAGTCAGCACTGTTACATGAATATTTTCCCACACGGATTTCTCACTTTTTCTTATAAATAGGAATATAGGTTGCAGGATGTGGGGTTTATCCTTGTTTTCCACTGAGTATTGATAAGAACTGGTGTGCAATATTTTGGCCAGTAACTGGATTTGAAAATCCAGAGTAGTGTGAATGATTGGGTTAGAAAACAACCCTCAAGTAAAGATTAGCCTTACTGCAACCCTTTATTCTACAGAGAACAACAACCTGTTGTGTTGTCCATTGTGGGCAGGACAACAAAGAAAAAGCATTAGATTTCTTGGAAAAATGTAGCTGGGAACCTCAAGGAAAAGACTAGATAGACATTTCAGGAATAATTCAGGTAAGTAACCCACTTTGGGAAGGAATGTGCTGAGTGACTTTCTGGAACACTTGCAAGTCTAAATATTGCCAGTATAAAGGCTGACTTAAAAGTGGTTTCCCCAAAAAATGGAACTAACTCTGTGAGCAGGCTTTTAGCTAATCAAGGGCAACATCTTACCCAAACACAGAGGCTTTTTACCTCTGTTGTCTCTCAGATTCTTTTTTTTTTTTTTTTTTTTTTAGAAAATCTGGGGGTTTTTTCCTCCTATACTATAAGCCCTCAATTAGAGACTCACCATTTTACATTTTTAGTCCTGCTTATTATAAAATGTAATATTAATAACTAATTGCAATATTAACATTTTATTTTTCTATATGAAGTGAGGATTCCTTAGGATGTTTGGGATGTTTTTAAAGTAGTGTGGTCAGCTTAATTTTAAAATGTTAAATAGGGTGAACATTTGAAGGACTTCTTAATTGCCTGAGATTGTTGTGAAAATACTTAGCCTCCTTAGCCTAGTGTTGTTGAATAAATTTAACTGGCTTTCTTATAACCAAGTAATTCCTTAGCATTTTTCTTGGATATCTTCCTTTATAAGCTTTGTGAATTTTTTGCTTTCAATGAGAGCACTTTTCTAGAGAATAGAGAAATTTTTCTAGAGAAATCTGTCTCTTTTCTAGAGAAATCTCAGTTGGAACTCAGTCAAAGCATAACCTGGTTATTATTGGCTAGGAAGGCAAGAGGGTATACAGTGGGCTTCCATGTTCAGTTGTTTTATGATTTCCTGGTCAGCTGAAGAATGTGTCTGTGCACCATGCCTTGGGTTGCAACTGCATTTCATGTAGCTATTTCATATGTTGAATGAGAAGGCAGAGCCACCTGAGAGGTAACTTTTGCCTGTGTGGGAACATATGTCAAAGAAGAGAAGATACTTCTTTGTTCAATTCCATCAAAAGTGTAGACAGATTTATCATACTTTTGACACTTCATCCTCAGTCTTTCAGCAATGGATGGCTTCAGTGGCATGTGTGTATATATGTAAGTGTATACTTTCTACTATAAAATTATATACATACTTTAATGTGCATATGTATTTATATATACTAGTATATATTTATTGTCACAGATGCAAGCCTGATTGAAGCCACAGTAGACTTGTGAGTGCAATCATTTTTGTTCTTGCTAATTATATAACTAGTGATCTAGATGTGAAACTTCTAATTTTTATTCTACAATAAAAGAAATAACCATTTCGCATCTTCCTATGGAAAAAAAGCAAACTTACATAAGCTAGAAATACTTTATTAAAACAGAATGTGCAGTGTAGGTGGGATAATACATTATATGTGAACAGAGTAACTTGTCCTTAAATCATTAAAAAAAAATTATAGTTCAGTAGTCAATTATATAAACTTATTAACTTTTTTGTTTAGTTCAAGGAAGAAATCTCTAAGCGTTTCAAGTCACACACTGATCAGCTTGTGTTGATATTTGCTGGAAAAATTTTAAAAGATCAAGATACTTTGACTCAGCATGGAATTCACGATGGACTCACTGTTCACCTGGTTATCAAAACACAAAACAGGTAACCTTACTGATGAGTGATCTTCTGTTTACCTCTAAAAGTAAAAATACTTAACAATAAAAAGTAAAGTAGTAAGTAAAAATTCTTAACAGCTTTCTGTTGGGCAAATCTAGATTTGAATAAATCCCTTTATTCAGGTGCCTAGTCTCAGTTGGTACAGAATAACAGTCTGAAATTACAGTGCTTTTTTATTTGGTTACTCTTGTATTTTAATTGGATTCATGTTTCTAAATACAAGTCTCTTGCTTTTGTGTTATTTAACTTCTTGGTTTTAGTGCTAAGTGCTGGCTGTGTTTTGGCTCCATAGTTGTTAGATATCAGCTCTTCCTGTCCATAAAGATATGTTGTGTAGCTTTTCACTCATGAAGACTTGCAGTGAATCATTAATCACTGTTTTGGTAAAACAAGGAAAGAAAATTTGAGAGAACTGCTTTAGTGCAACTAATTTATCTGGCTGAACAGAAAGACTTGGATTTTAAATTTTGTTTGTTTTGGTGAGGCAACTTTCAAATGACAAGAAAATTTAATCAGTTGTGCTGTGTCATCTGCACATTAGTTCCTGTGAAGTGCCCAGAAGGAAAAGGCTCAACTAAAAAATCCTTTCAGCAAGTAGGGTAATATATCCCCTAGTTGAATCTGGTTTGCCTAGTCAATAACATGTTTCTTGTTCTGGACTGAAAGTGTTATTCCTTCTATTCTACTTAAGTGTGTATTGTTCGTGGTAAGGATCTACTACTATGTGAAGATGTCAGATGATGAAGAAAAGAGCATGGAACTTGAGAGAGAAGAAATATGCTTTTCTTTTCCAGCACTCACCAAGTCACAAAAGCCTGCTAGTAACATTAGCATTAAATTTAGGCACCTGTTGAAACTGATGTCTTCAGTTACATTCTCATATCCTGATGGGACTATCTTCTCCGTCCTGGAGTTGTGTCTCTGTCAAAATATATTGGCACTGGCAGAGGTCTCCCTTCCCTACCCTATGCCTCACCAGCCTGAAATTTAGGCCATCCCAATCTTATATATAATATTAGCTAAGACTGCAATTTTGTGCTTTGTGCATCTGAATTAGTATTCTGCTGTTGTCATGACTTCTGCTTTTTTTGCCTGCAATCTTGAGTGTGGCAGAGAGGCTTCATGATGACAGGATGCTTTTGACTTGGACAGTTTCCTCTAGGTTGGACCCTGCAATAACTGTACATACTGAAATACCAGTCTCTCATACCTTCAAAGGAGCACCCATGTGCAATGACACATTTATCGGTCTTGAGGAATTTTGGTGTCCCTGCATCGGTCCTGTCAGCACTGCAAGCCATGTCTCCCCTCTTCCACATTTTTTGAATAATTTTAGAAGTGTGTATTACCATTGTCTTCAGAAGGTTTTACTCATGTCTCAAACAAAGAAGTACATACAAAAATCTATAGACCCTTTGCATGTATCTACACTATCCTCAAATGAGGCAGTAATGTTATCACATACTAGCTTTGCTCAGATAAACTAAAAATGTGCTAAAGAGAATTGTCAACACAATGAAAATTGCATTTGAGAAAGTATAACGTTGTCTTGAACCATCTTACTGAAATTCTTCCTGGATTTTATGCTTGATCCAAAAGGCAAGATTTAGACCCTGCTTGTATGGCCTGGTAAGTGCTGATTTTTGGCCGTGAGTATCAAGACTGGATTGCTCCTAACCACTTTACACTATGCCATTTACCTTTCTGTTGATTGTTGCTGTTGCTGCTGTATATTTGAATAAATAAAAAGTTATATTCCAGAACTGCATCTGAAGATTATCTTTTGCCTTCTAAACAATATTAATGTGACTTTCAAACAGGATCCTCATATATACCAAACAATCCTTGTTGAAAAAAGGTAATTTTATTACTGTGATACGTTTTTCAGAATGATACAGGCTTCCAGTGTAATCCTGTAACCTGGCCTATACAGTGTCAGAGTAGCAGTGAGTGATTAGCAACGGGTAGTAGAGATGCGTTGAATTTCTGAATACAGGGTTCCAGTTCAGCACCTGCAATTTGCAACAAGAGGAAACCTAATGGCAAGATGGATATAAAAGATGATGTATATTTTACAGGAATTCCCCTCAAGGACTTGAGGTTGACAAACTTGACACACAAACCATTATCTTAAGGTTATATACTCCCAATTTCCTTAGAAACAGTCTGAACTGTTTTCAGTTTTGTCTACTTTTCTGTCCTGCTTTGAGAACCTTCCTTTTCTGTTACATGAAGGTGTATGGTTGCTTCTCAAAATAGTTTCTCAGTTGAAAAAACAAATAGGGTATTATGCTTATTAGTTTCCTCTTGCTTATGGAGGAAAAATTTATGTGTTTTCTAGACCAAAGGAAACCAAATATCTCTAGCAGATGATCCGTGGTCAGTATAGAGTCTACTCTTCCTCACTGAAGTTACAGCTGCATGGTTAACAGTAGTCATCTTGTGTGCAAAGTTCACAGTTGCTGTTAATATTACAGAGTATTAATGCTTGTTCTCAGCACCTCAAAGCTTCACTTGGTGCCTTATGTCAGGGCAGCTTATGTCAAAGCCAGGTATCCAGGTATTCCTTTTCCTGGATTGTTAGTGTCTGTCTGGAACATTTCCTCTAGAACAGGTTTTCATTCAACAGAATCTGTGTGGTTTGATAGACCTGAAAGTAAACAACAAAGAAATAAAAATTAAAATACACAAACCTGAATTCATAGGAATTACTGTGGACTTAAGTTTTAGAAGAACTGTTAAATCTTGTGGACTCAAATTAGCTTCCTCCTTCACACCCAGAACATCAGTAACAACTTGAATGGGGTGATTTGGTCCCATGGCATCTTGTACCTTCATGATTTGGCATGCTGTGTTTTATTCACCTGTTTACAAGAACACTGGTCAGATCAACAGGGAATACCAGCATACTTAAAAGCTGGTGTTGATGTTTTGCTGAAAGAACTAAAGAACTTGTGAAGTGTGCAAAGTATTTAATTGTTCCTTTGGTTTCTGTCTATGGTTTTGGTGGCTGATGTTTAGCCTGGAGTCAGAGAACTCTTAAAAACCTTGGGGAAGCCTCTGAACTTGAGGCATCTCTCAGTCTTGTATTTTTGGTTTGCTTGTTGTTAGGTGTTTTTTCAGTTGTACCCCACCCCCCCTTCTTGAAGCAGAAGTGTACTGTGAGATGAACTGAGGTATGAAATTTAGTGTACTGTCAGATCCTCTGTCCTGGTTTCAGCTGGGATAGAGCTAATTTTTCTTCTTAGTAGCTAGAATAGTGCAGTGTTTCAGATTCAGCATGGGATTTGGTATGAGAAGAATGTTCATAATACACTGATAGTTTTAGTTGTTGCTAAGAAATCAAGGACTCTTCAACTTCCCATGTCCTGCTAGTGTGCAGGTGTACCAGAATCTGGGAAGGGGCACAGCCAGAGCAACAGACCCAAATAGATCACTGGAATATTCCATATCATGTAATGTTATGCTCATTGTATAGATGTGGGTTGGCCATGAAGCTCTTTTGGGATTGTGATTTGGGGATTTTCCTTCAGCTGGGATGGCTAGCTAAGAACAGACTGGGCATCAGGATGGTGAGCAATCGTATTGTGCATCACTAGCTTGTACAGTCTGTTATTACTATTATGAGTAATGTTAGTATTTTAATTTTCTTTCATTTCAATTATTAAATCAGTTTTATCTCAACCTACAACTCTCCTTACCTTTACCCCTCCAATTCTTTCTTTCTTTCATCCCCTGGAGCAGGGGGAGGGTGAGTATAAGTGGCTGTGTGGTGTTTAGCTGCCAGCTGGTTTTAAAGCATGACATCCTTGAATCTTTGTGTGAGGTGTGAACTCAGTTTCTAGAAGTTATTTTATGCTGTAGTTCTGCAAATACAGGCATTTGTGAGATTGGCTGTTGAATGAGACTGGAGAACTGATTTGGGTTTCAAACTAGCCTTCTTTTGAATAGAGGCAACGTTAGCTTTATAAAAGCTCATGTCCCCAATCTCTTTTACGTTTGCCTCTGTAGTAGAAAGTTGTGGTGAGTATATTTCTTGGACAGCCTTTAGTGCCTGTGCTAAATTATGTTGGCTTTAACTTTGTGTAACTACATTTTTACTCTTTTCTTTAAGTCTTGAAGGTTATTGAGATTCTGGTATTGGTCTTATAATTGTCTTATAAGACAAAATATAGTAAACACACGTGTTTACTATATATAGTAAACTGTATACTAAATATATAGTAGACACTTATAAGTAAGATGTTAATTGAATTTCACATTCAGTAAGGCATCCTAATAAAGATATGGCATGAAATATATCTGATGTTAAATTTTGCTAGGCTTTATTTCTTTAAGTCCCAGGCATGTAATCAGTAGTATTTGAATATAGTGGAATAAGTCAAGGATCTTTAAAGCAAGGGAAGGACAGAGGAAACAATTAATTGGTGGGCATCCTAGGGATAGGGTGAGAAGGTGATACTGGCTGCAATGGTGCCCATCCATTTTCTTAATGTTTCAAACTACTGTTCTGAGAAGATGATGACACTACAGGTGCCTAAGAAAGTGTTGTTACAGGAAGCCATCTAGAGATAATAGTGTGATTTTTTTTTTTTTTTTTTTTTTTTTTCCCTTTTTGAGAAAGAAAGTGTAAATTGAGATTGTCAGTGCAATACTATTTCTGTATTTAATGGCATTATTTAAGTTAACTTGTTAAACTTGCAGCTTATAAACTTGCCTTTTTAGATCACAAGACCACCCAGCTCAACAAGCAAACACCACTGGGAGTACTGCTACCACATCAACATCAAACATTAGTACCTCAACACCAGCTTCAACGAATAGTAACCCTTTTGGCTTTGGTAAGAATATTTGTTAGGTAGCATGGTGGGTACTTCTCTTGGATTCAGGTAATTGTCCCTGAAGATTTAGTCTAATATAGACAGAACTTATATATATATA